TTCTGCTTACACTCGGAGAGAGTAGGAAAGAGTGGAGATATATTTCCTGAAATGCGAGTAAAAAGGTTTGGATGGGTTCAGCAATATCCTGGAATAAAGTTTATAGCAAGCCTAAACGTACTGTGAAGTTATACTTTACGATGCGTTCATGAGACATGCCACTGTGTTGATTAATATGTTTGATGTATCTGCGTGTGAGTTTGAAAATTTATGATAAAGTGCCTGAAATAGATGACTGAGGATCCATAAAACCAGTTGTAAGGATGAAATAGAAATGAAGTAGGGTAGATAGTACTTTCACAAAATAGCGAAAAAGTCGAGTTTCCTGACTTTGTGAAATATCTGGTTGGCACGAGAAGATAAGGAAAGACCAGGAGAAGGAGTGACGTTTCGCTTGATTGTTCTGTGCATTGGCATTTTTTACTATACGTTTTAGTTTGGTTATCATTCAATAAAAGGCAAAACAGGAAAAGGATCGGAAAACGTGATTATAATAATAGGCTAATAGTGCTACTGTGCTTTTGACCACACACCTTATGGCGTTTTAAGTGTTACACGCCACAAAACAATATGACACCACTACATGCATGACTGCGTCCGAAAGCCATCGCGCTAGCCAGAGTTCATTATGGTAGTAACCAGCTGACTCAAGTACCACTACTAAATCCTGTGGTGCATAAACTGCTTCCAACGGGTACTCTGTGTGTATCTGAATTCACTATCTGTTTTTCTCAATACAATTCTTTCACTATAGTATCACATCAGCGCACGAAAGGTATACTTGGTTTTGTTTTTTCTAACATTTTATCGCTTGCAGAGGAAATTGTGTCCTGAATGTTATCAATACTTTCAGATAAAATCTTTAGCATATCGCTAAAGCCAACTCTGACCGATGAGAGCTCTTGATCCGAATACTAATCTTCCATTTACCTTTGTCATAACAGTGGGCGAGCTCATGAAGTGATTTAGGTCTTCAATCTTCGTTACTTCTCAATTTTCAACTATCTTACTGTGATCATTACAGCGTTCCGGAAAACCAGTTGAGCATTTGTCGTCTATTAAACTGAAGGGTTTCATAAATTCAGATTGGTCAACTATATTCTTCTCAAAATTTATAAATACAGTCCTTTGAATGATCGGTTTTGATATTAGACACGGTTAGTCCGAAGAAACCATCCTGATTTAGTGATCTAGGAAATGAAAATGGCTATCACATTTTGTCAGCTTTATTATCGTCTACCATTGGAGAAAAACTGTGCCATTTGGAGTACGCAGATGACATCGTCCGTCTGTCCAAATGCACAGAGGACACGCAAAGCGCACTTGATAGACTAACAAGTGATGTTGCCACATTCGATAAGCTCTTTGCACCTTTAAATTGCTAAGTGATGCTGCAGGATCGGGTTTCGCCCACTCCCGCTTTGGAGCTAAATGGTTAGGAATTAGTTACGGCGGTAGCACAGCAAAAGAGATAACCGCCCGCAGTTCCAAGGCTAGCGCACCATACGCAGGACTGAAACACCTTTGGCGTAGACGCAACGTTTCACTGAAGTTGAAAGGTCGTGTATATTGTGCTAACGTTCGTTCAGTTCTGCTTTATGGTGATATTGCGAGTAGAAAATATCCGTGGACCAGAGGTTTTCGATTATCGGTGTTATGTAGTTCAGCCTATGTGGGATGAAGCGAACAGGTTATTAACGTGGAGGTAAGTCATCGTGTATTGGGGAGTTCATCAGGGATAAACCTGCTGGCCCACCGAATTCGGATTAGTAAGCTTCGCTGGGCACGTATTGCGTATGCCCAACTGTCGTCTGCCGCACCGCGCTTTATTCGCTGTAGCCGCTTCGGGCTGGAGGAAACCACGTCGAGGTCGACAGATGACGGGGAGACGAGGCATGAAGAAATGCACAGAGCCAATAGGTGGAGTAGGTGTCTCGCCTTCTATGTTGGGGTCCGGCAGACTCCCTAACTGGTTAGTTGGAGACACTGAAGGATATGGCAGCGAACCGGCAGCAGTGGCGTTCTTGTTATCATTCCTTATCAGACCAGAGCGCTTGAAACAGTATGCACGCGGAGTTCGATTGTGCACTCTGTGTGTTGACCACAGTGGTTTACCTTCTCCCTCCGTCACAGTAGGTCCAATCCATGTCCACCTTAAATCTTACCACTAATCTTGTATGCATTGCGAGTTTGGCAGCAATCAGCGAAGTTCGCTTCACTGTATTTCGCTGTACGTTGATGATGATGATTATCGTCCACACGGATAGGACACTAGTTGCATTGGGGGCAAGTATACAGCAGTTTGACATGCAGAGCTTTCGAGGTTGTTAATTTCTATGACTGACAATCGATTTCCCTATCACATTCATCACATTACAGCATTCTTGTTAGAATAAGGTTTTCAGGCTCTCGTTTCAGATTTTAACGGAATATTTTTCATAACAGGAGTCCTAAGAAAATGCAGACGCAGATGAATGCAGTTGCATGCTACAGCTGTACCCGATAATCTTTGAAGTTTTACCTAAAACTGGTGAAAACAAAATTCATTTCCTCGACCTAACAGAAATTCGCCATGCAGCTACTTTGTAATTACGAGTTGTGGAATAAAAGACTGGCTGGATAGAGATGGCATATTAAATATTTTTTATTATGTACTGTGGAAATCAGCGTAGATAATTAAATATTTTACCAACGGATTATTAGTCACTAAAGTGGCTAACACATAAAGATATGATGCATAAACATGATAACTCATTCGGGTGCAGCAGTCTCCAGCAAAAAGAATTGTCGTTCCACTATAACCTCGTAGGCTACTAGGAGAGCTATCGTACGACTAACGTTTCCTTTATGCCCCGAACCCACTACTTTTATAATCTGGAAAACGCGCTGCTCAATAGTAAGTTTGATCAATAATACTGTGCTTCAACAAGCGCGGATGAACTGAAGGATATCCGTGCAGGGTTCTCTGGTTGATATCCGGCGTATTGATGGACTAGTCACATTAAATGTCAAATGAAATATCTGACCACGATTTCAACCCAGATCCAAATTAAATGTTATCAGTTTGAAGATTGAAAACGTCTAAACAATGCAAATAAATCCAGTCTTCAATTTAGTTAATTTTCTTTGGAATCTACTTTAATCGTTTCATAATTTGTTTACGTCACCCCAACTTAACTGTCGATGACGTGTTCGAAACAGTATCGGATAAACGAACCCACAATGTTCGTGCCTAGGTAAATCAATCAATAGATTTCAAATAGACAATCGATGATTAAAATAGAAATCTGCTTTTGCCTCTACAGATGACACGATTTTAAGCAGCATTTGTTCTTGCTCCGTTGTTTGGTTACTCAGCCATAATGTAACTTTTACCCACCCACCTCCCAAATGCTTAAAACGGGAATCGTCATATGTCAGGTATCTTTATTTGTTGTTGTCGTTGATAAGTAATGACATTATAGATAAACGTGAGCAGAATCTTGGTTCTTTTGTCTCCTACCTGGTCCGCCTACTGTGTTCACTTGAAGTGCAGAGGATAATTATTTTCGTTAAATGTGTTCATCGCGTCAAATACCCAACGAAAGGGCAACTCACTGGATTCCAATTGTTGACATTGCTCGTTAAGGTTTTTATATTTGCGTTGTTTACACGTGAAAACATTTCTTTCTACTTCGTTGTTTTTAATTTTTATCAGAAAACTATTCGGAGTTGATCGCGTTTATTTTGACTTCCCAAAAGTAGAATCATTTTTCCGAGTACAGCCAAAGTTTCTGTTTATCGATCTTCATGTAGTAATTTTGATCGTCTTCTTGTAAATTGTTATCTCCGCTCAACGTATCTTTCTCTGTGGCAAATAGATAAGCTATGGATATTCGATTTTTGTGTTTGATTATTTACACCTATATGAGTGGAAGTGTTAAATTTGATTTCACCAGGATAACAAGTGTTGAACTCCCTCACAGACCTGAAGAGTAGGATTTCGTTTTATCTGAAGAGAAAAAGGTATCCGAATTGAGTAAATCCTAACGCAGATTTGTCTTTGGGTGAAACGAAGCTACGTTTGTCCACGGGATAGCAACAATCAGAAACGGTTCATTTCGGCTTTGCGCAATCACACCCATTTTCTTGAAGGAATCAGTATCCTAAAGAAACTAACTGGAAAGTGAATGGCTCTTGATGAGCGCTTCAATATTTCAAGTAATGAATCGGTGGATTTGTAGGGATCAGAGGTTTCCTTTTGGTACTCAGTGTGCAAATCTTTGAAGACTGCTGCCCAGTTTATCACATCAATCTTAGCTCTGTAGCTGTAAGATTTATTTGGAGAAAACCGACCACAGCATTCCTTTCTGTGTTTGGAATAAATCTGTATAGCATGATACATCGAAATCGACACGATGTGGTCTGTTCTCTCTATTGAATAGAAGATACTCCGGCATTAACTTCTTGTAGCCTATTCTATCGGTTGCATAACCAGATGACTAATGGAATCTCAGAGAAACGGTGTGCTTCTCAATGTTACGGGTCTATTTCAAAGTGTACAATTTCACTCAAAGGGATTCTGACACAGCGACCTCCTTTGTTTACCACACCCCAAGGTGTAACAGAATAGTACACTACTGGAAGCCAAAAATACGGGATCAATCGTGCTACGAAGAATGATCTTTTTGGAACAAAATTTGCTCTTTTAAAAACAGTTCTCTTCTTCTGGTTTCATAGGAAGTAAATGGTAGCATTCATTATACAATGCGTTTCACTCAACAAAACCCGCTGATTCCAGTTCAATCGTAAATGAGGATCCAAGCATCGTGTATAGACCGAACATGTGATTTTCTATTCAATCGAAAAAAAACTTAGTTTTTGCAACTATGACGAAATATGAGTTTCGGAAAAAGTGACTAAACTTATACTTTCACTTTGAATTTCACATGTTGAAAACGTCATTCAAAAATCACTTCTTCTGTATGTCTTCCCTACTCCTACCCTGTACCACCAATTAGTGGGGCTGACCTTTTAGCCATGAACGCGGATGGTAATATGCCCTATGAGTGCTGTTTACCCGGGCCAACACTGAGCCTCATCGAAACGGAGATGGATAAAAGAGGTGAGCAGGCCTACCTGTGTGTGTTGACCAGTGCTCTCTCATCAGTTCACCAAATGTGTGTAATTCACTACTGGCTGGTTATTTTATTTCCCTAAAAGTTTTCATCTGCACTCTAATCAACCAATAAAGCAAATTCGGAGTGCAGCGAAGACAGTGAATATTTATTCAGTAATAGTTTATTGTTTTTGTCAAAAGTTATCATAGTAAATCTTATGAGAAAAACTGCTTATTAGTTTGGACACTCTCCACGTTTTACCGTTTTTGTTTTAAGATAGGCAGTATTACTCACCACCAACTTATTATCTTCCTAATAAAATGCTGATTTTTTAATGGGTAGTATCTTGTAACATTATCTCCATGTGGGATGCGACTGCCTTGCTTTATAGTTTCTACGCAATCTAGAGATGTGACATCAGAAGTTCTGTTGGTTACATTTTGCAGTATATGCTTAAATTTGAATAGAATAACTCAAATGGTTACGAAATCTAATTCAGTGTCTTTCATCATTGTCAAGTGATAGATCAATAAAACAAAGTTCCCTCTAATTTGTTCCGTCTTATTCTAGAAGTGGTATTATTGTTATCTTAGAAGTTATAAAATGACTGCTTTGTTCAGCACCCTCCGTGACAACCGATACTATAAGCCGTGAGGCTAAAGGCTCTATTCATAAACAGTCACAATCGGTTACCTTTTTCGTTCCGGTTCCCATAGTACAAATGAGAGCACTCATACTCACCGTCACCGGCGTGCTTGAGACCCTGTGGACCGAGGTTCCAAAAGCACCATCGAACTTTGCTGGTAAACAGCTTTACTGTCCTCCGGTTCAATACGACGCCTAACCTAATGGGGCCTTACGTGGATCGACGCGTCTCGGTGCTTTAGTTGTCGGTTTCTATCATTACATATCATGTCTACACAACTATACAGTTAACCCGTTTTGCTGTTCGTCACACAAAAATGTGTGTCGTAAAGAAACATAGCTTCGTCTGACTACTTATATTCCAGCTAGTTGGATCTCGCAAACATGCATAACACGGGTACTACGCTATTGCAGCGAGTAAACAGCGAGTTCAATTAGTTAAATCTATCGATTGGTTGAAAGTGCAACCACATGGTGATTCAAATGCACTTCGTGTGATCCAATGGCATTTGAACTGGCCAAACTAAAACTTTTTCGGGCCGTGATAAAGGTCAGGATAAGATTGCGTTAGATTGAGCGTTTTTGTTTGCTTGTATACTCATTCCACGAAAGGTTTTTATTAAATAATTTCCCTAGAACTTATTGCAGCTGAATATTTTATATATCTGTGAATATTTGGATTGTTTTTCCGACTGAACTCAATATCAGTTTTGTAGAGTATTACAGATAGGGTAATAGAGCCGAACGGCGACTGATAATTTCACTGCATGCACTTCTCATTAGACTATTTACGGTAATCAGACGTGGACAGAATTTATCAACTTCGGATAACGCACCACAACTACAGTATGGTGGTTATAGTGAAAAGGAAAACTTAGTCATAGATACTTAATCAATCAATGAAACACGAGGTGTAGAAAAACAGCAGTGCCAAATTTGTAGAAATGGCCTACTAAAAACCGATCTATCCTTACTTACTTGGTTTCTCCTGTTTCAAAAATGCTTTCTCATCCTGTATCAAGGAATTACACTGTTTCGGTATGTAGAAGTCTGCGCAGAAAGGAGTTGATATTTGGAGTGTGTCCGGGGAATCGACAGGGCTTTCGCGATATATTGGTGCAGACAGTGCCCTTGGTCATGCGTTATCCTGTCAATGAATGTATCACAAGCGTCAAGATGCTTGGAAATAAAGAAATCAACTAAAACAGCTTTATCAACTCCAGTGTAGAGGAACAAAAGTTTAAGAGATCTTGAAAATAAAGAGAAGTCTTTTTATTTCAGTCCAGGGGGAAAAATCGGGGAGCAGTATAGCCAGTGTGGAAGAATGCAGGCAATCACAAATTTAATAATAAGATCATGTGGTACGGCCAGTTTCCTGAGCCTGTAAGCGTAGAATGACAGTTTTCGAACTTTTGTGAAAACGTTGATGACATGAGCAGACCAGGACAGGTTATGGGTAAGGGTGGCACCAAGGTATTTATCAGATGCAGATTTGGGAATGCTTTGATTGTTAATTCTAAGATCAGGGAAGTTACGAACTAATGAAAAATAACGGTGACCGGTTTTAAAACTAAATGGAACTTCGATGCACTTACTGACGTTAAGTCTATGGGATCGGGTCACAGACCAATCGTGAAGTTCATTAAGACTGTCCTGGGGAGGTCGAAAACTGACTGAAATAGGGGCTGGGCAACCAATCACAATGTCATCATCATACTTACAAGCAATAAAGTTGGTGGGGATGGGCAAATTTTGTATAAACATGGAAAACAAGAAAGGGGACAAAATGGCACCCTGAAAAACACCGGCTTCAATGTTAATAGAAGAAGACTGTACACCCTTGAGTGAAGTAAACTGAGTACTACGGGAGAAGTAGTTAATTAGTATATTCAAGACTTCAGGAGTTAGACCACACTCAGAAAGATGATCAATAAGCACACTTTGGTCGAGAGAACCAAAAGTGTTTCTATAGTCAAGAAAAGTTAAACGAGTGGTACTAGCATCATTGTTTAAGAGGGGAGCAAAATTGAATCGTTTATGGACAAACTGATAGATATCATATATAGTTTTGTGTATGAACATAACACATAATTGTAGCCTTTGATTAGTAGTGCAAAAATGTTATCTGTGCCAGGGTTCTATCAAGTCTCCGCCTGAAAGATTGGCGCACAAACGACGTGAGACAGAACAGAGTTCCAAATGGTGCACACTCTGACAGCACAAGATTGACCCCTGCATTTTGGTCGAGTCATTAAATTTAAATAATTTCCTTTGAAGTGTAAGTTGCACGACAACGTGGGCAGCGACTGATATCGACTGTTTGAGTTATGCAGTATTTCAGAGTCGGAAACCACGTCTCCTCGAATTCGTCGGTACTGAGCATAATATAGTATCATTGATCGTAATCTCTTCCCGTAGGTGAGACAGTGCGATTCATTGATCATCTTGGTTGCAATCCTTTGTGGACGCTCCACCATATTATCAAGATGGAATTATGGACTCTATGCTTGGATGGCGTGCTCTGTACCCGATGGCAAACGTGGAAATAATGCCAATTAAAACCAGCCAAAGACGCGCCTGAGCAAGCCGACTTTCTCCACAGCAGCAGACAAAGCCCTGGAGAAATTGATAGAGTAGCTGAAGTCTTCGTGAACAAGTATACCTGGGTCCTTTTCACTTGAGTTATGTAGCGACCGTTAATTTCCGAGGAAATACGGAAATCGCCTTCTGTGGCGTATGGATGGGATTTTGCATTTAGGAACATTGAATTCAATGTCGTTGTCCATAGACCACTGGTAAGAGAACCGTGAAGACGTACCGTGCCTTCGGGCTCTGTTACCGTATTCCAGATTCTGGCGTCATCTGCAAACAGTATTGCTTTTGACCTAAGAAAATTTGGTAGTTCAGTAATGAATACGAGAAAAAGTCGGGGACCACGCACAGACCCTTTTGGAACCTCGTGAGTAACGTTGATAGAACCGGATAAGGAATCAGGAAAATGAACTGATATGGTCCCTCGTCGGTGGACTGCTCTAATCAAATCATGCACGAAACCTCCAATACTGAAATTGTAAAGCTTCTTCAATAGAATAAACTAGATCACAGGCTTTCGAGAAGTTCAGATAAGTTATATCCACTGCGTTCTCATTGTCGAATGTCCTGGTGCATTCATCTCGAACGAGAATCAAGTCGGTAGAATAGGATCGGTTTTTGCCTGCTTTTATCAACACACCCAAGTTGATGCCGAGCACAAGAAGTGAGGCGACTGTGGTAACCGTGTGGGACAGCATTCGTGGCACTTTTTAAAATCTTTTCAGAAAATTGGTTATTTTCAGATCTTTTATCTCGTTGACAGAAGGAACGATAAGCATATTCAATGATTCAGTCCAAATGTTCAAATGCTGAATGCGCATGTTTGGCTAGAGATTAACAGACAAACAAAACTGCGCGTGTCTGCACGTTCGCCTTTCTGTCTTTCTTCCTTTCTGTGAAGACAATGGAGCAAATGATCCGTTCAATGAGTATTGTGAACTCAAACAGTGCAAAATATATTTCTATCACACAATGTTTTCCATTAATCTGATGCTCATCATATTTTGTGGCACACATAGCTTTTAATCCCCCTCCCTCGGCATTTCGATATTACTTCTACTTTATCTCTAGACTGATCGATGCACTCACTTTATTGTGTCTATTGAGAAAACAATTCCTGTTGTGTGCAGGTCCATATGCAATGTTTTTAAAAGCTAGCTATACAACTTGGAAGCAGGCGCCCTCCTAACGTTTGGCTTGTGAATACTCATTCAATCTTACTTGTATGAAATTCGTTTTCATAATCAGATCAGTGGTTTGAATGTGCTGAACACCTACCCAAGTAACCCAATTTGTGTTTAGGAAACCGTAATAATTTCAAAACTATTCAGGTCTCATGGGAGCCCATCGATGTGAATTATAAGTTGGGTGCTTTGTTGACACGAGGAGTTTTCCTGTCAGATTTATGATACCAGTTTCGATTCTCACTATGCTTCAAAAGTTTACTTCACAATCAGTTTTCAGCGGAGACCGCTATAGATTTCTGAACAGTTTAACCATAAAAACGATGCAGATGATTTCGCAAACAATATGCTGTTACGCTCTTTTCAGGTTCATTTTCCCCTCACCTTTTCTCTGATATTTTGTCATCAGTAGAAACGTGTTATCCCTATATATTTATTGATTGATGCCTGTCTCAGAAGATGATCATTGATGTTGGCCAGTCTTATATTTTAGGTTTATAAAACAAATCTTTTCGAAATGCGATCCCGTAGTTTTCTGTGAGAATGTTCACACGAGAAAAGATTGTGCAGCTCTAAGTGGTTGTCACCATTTGTCAGTCACGTGATTGTCTGAAACGAACCAAATCACAGCAATTCTGACCGGGGGTACAAATGGTTGCCAACTACTCCTTGTCCGAAAACCAAACAATGATAGACCTCATGCGATTTTCTGGTTTTTCTGACTAATTTATCAATCAGTCGAGTTGTAAATCACTCACGATTAGGAACGGGAACATCACGTCCGATGATCATGTTGTGCTCATTCAAAATTGATTTTTCTCTTTCCATTTCTCTATCTTTTGAAATGGAATCAACTAGGCATCACTCAAGAGGAACTGGACGATTTGCATCGTTTACCCGAATGTGAAATGCTGGCTGACATGGAAACATTGTACAAAAGTGGCGCCGATATGAATACTCTCGACAAACAAGGAGCAGCGCTGGTAAGTTCTTAAAAGATACAAATCAAGGAATACTTGATCTTTGTTCATTTCTTACCGCTCGCGGTAAACAACACGAGAAATTTTGTTTTCTGCTTATTGATGTTGTTTGTGAGTCTTGCTGTTTTTGTTTTGTTTTTGTTTTACTGTGCGGCACAGTCTGATCTCAAGATTCCCGGAGGATTACAGATCAAATTAATTACTTTGCTGTGGATAGCTGAACAACCAAAAAACACCTTTCAATTAATTCCGTCTTCCAGCTGAAACCGGAAGCGTTCACTGGACTTAATGAAATTAGACTTTCAGTGGAGTGAACGATACCACCTTACCGTCTAGTATTATTTTCACTAACAAAATTCGGTTTCATATATTCCAGGGTAAAAATGTTCCCTTGATGTTTTGTTGAACAACATTCGCGGTAAATGATAAATATTTTCATCTCTTGTACCGCCAGCAGTATACGTCTCAACACGTGTATTTGGTTAGATCGCTAAATTTGATGTGTGTGTATGACTACTTATTGCTATACCTCTATATGGTACCCCATTGCTTCGGACTGGAGAGAATTAATGCATAAATTGTATCCATGGGTTGCATCGGTCGGTTATGAGCAGGTGGTGGTGAGGAGATTGAATTAAAAATTAAAACAGTTTAGACGTTGCACTCGATTCCTGCCGTTTTTCTTCATTCCAAGGTAAACTTCAATTAACCGCAGCCTTTTTTCCAAACTCTGACTATGTAGCTATATGTTCAACAACTTAGAAAACGAAGTAAACAGACTGTAGAACCCAACAAGATCTCTCACTCCAGAATTCAATCTTTTTTGTATGCTAAAGATAAGGATCATCTGTCATATATGGGTCCCTGTTGACGGAGATGGGTGTTAAACGAAAGATGTAGAAAGTTCCAGAAAATCCTTCATGTAACAGTCCGAGAGGCGTCGGTATTCCAAGCATATATGCAAGTGGGAATGCCAGAATGTTAACAGATATTATCTGGATGCTAAAGAATTGTTTATGCACGCAAAATTCCAGAATGCTAGGTTTTCTGGCACAGTTTTACAGCAAGATCATAAGTGGAATTAGGAAAACACGGCCAGTGATCACCAAGAGATGGTGTCAAATTTACAAATGATCCTTACGTGAGCCCAACGAAATTTAGCAGAACAAAATGATTGGTTGTGTGGCCTACGACTGTCTAAGCTGAGCTGATGGGTCCGGGTTTTTTCTTTCGTATGTACGGGTGTACGTTGTGCAACAAAATTGCTGTCATCGGTCAGTCCAATTTGACCGAGTTCAGTCGAGAAGAATCATTGTCATTCATGAATACGAAGTTTGGAGAATAGGATTATTTTGAGTTTGAACAGTCCATTAGGGAAATAGACTGTTATACCGAGCTGATTTCAGACAGACAGATTTGGGCCGAGTTCCGTTGATTGCACTCGAGGCCAAATCGATCCGAAATCAATACAGACAGCTGAATTTAATTGAGCATCTACGATAAGCTCACGGTCAACATTGTGAGACCGAACTCTTTTGGTAAGCTTACTCAGAACTCCAGACAAGATATTTTTTCACTGGCAGTGATGTTTTGTAAATCCAACCCAAGTCCATCGAGAGGTATATATTATTTGGATGATGTGTGTATTTTGATCGAAACGTTTGCGTGGGAATTCACTGGAATACTTCGACGCTTTTGAGATTTTTGATAAACAATTCCAGACAAACACTCAAAATAACCGTATTCTATTTGCTTTTCTCCCCCAAACAAAAATACAGCTCCACATAGCAGCCGCTTGTGGATACGAGGAAGTGACCATTTTTTTGCTTAAACACGGTGCGAAAATCGATCAGCTCGATCGGGATGGTTGGCAAGCGATTCACATTGCTGCATGTTGGGAGCATGTGAGTACATTCACTCGTTTTTGATAACTTCCATTTGTACACCAAGCTGCCACTTTTGAGAGCAATTGCGCAATTGAAAGTTGGCATATGCAACCGGGACCTTTCATCTGAACTTCCGTGGCTGAGAATGAATTATTCATTTGGGAAAAATTTACAAATCTAGAGTGTTTCATTTTAGCGGTTCCGAGCGGTTTTCGTATTCAAGTAATTAGTTAGTATGTGAGCAGTCGAGTATCGCTTTCTCCGTTTACCCAAATCGGTCATATCGCTTTGTATCATATGAAGTGATAGTCTATCTTATTGAACTTCTAAGGGAATTGACTGCCTCAAGATTAGGTTCCAGATCCATAGAAGTTATAAAACATCTGATCTACCGGCATAATTCGTCTTGATTTATACCGATGAAATGAATTACACATTGTTGGTGTCGTAAAAAGGGCAGGGTTATTATCAATTTCCATTCTGGAAAGGAAGCTTTCTTCTTCCTCAATTAAATGCTTACTACGCTCGCACGGAGTGTTTATTCTATCCACGTTATTCTTTTTTGCCAGCCTCTCTCTTGTTTGTGGCAAATATTTGCCCACAATCTGACATATGGTCTGACCACCCGCGGCTGTCATGTTTTTCATTTTCTGTGAGATAAATGTGCCACTATTATTCATGCCGCATCTGTGAAAATTAACCAATGATGCAAACAATTTCATCCCCGAGTGAGTGATAGTCGAACTGTAAGCGGTAAAATGTGTTGAGCTGTAAAGTGATTTATCTTGCAGCCACGTGCACACGTCCCTTGAAATAACGGACACAAGACTGTGAAGTACTTAGTATGTGCGCGTGTCTGAAGAATGGATAAAAACTGATGTGTTCGTGATCTTGTGACCGACCACAAAGTGTCACGGTTAGCTTTCGTTTATTAGTATATGCTCTATTGGACACAAAATCTTGAGGGTGGAATATATATGTACGTTATTGTCGTTCACCTTTCAGTGTGTCCCATTGAAGATTAATAATTGAGTATATACAACCAATTGACAGTCTTCTCTGATATAAAAGTAATATTATGTATTAAGGGAAAATAAACGCAGTATTTAAGGACTGATGACAGCTCCAAGGAAAAAGCGAATAACTGCGTAACAGGAATTTCTTTCTCTGTTCCTCTTTCGATCTCGAGGTGTACCAAATTATATTTTTGTCCACAGTTTCCTCTGGCATTTACTGATTGAGTGTCAGAGCCTCAAGTAGGTTTAGAACGAGTGTTCCACATTAATCAGAGCCACTCAATGTGTTACTTTGCGTTCTTTCCACTTAGTGTTTCTTGGTCACAATGATCGTGCGAACTTGGAACTGCAGAACTATTCATCATGACAGTAGTTTTTCTGTAAGATATCAGTCCTTTGCAATCGTGGCCTATTTTGGTGTATTATTTGTGTGACGTTGGTACACCTTTATTTTCTTGCTTATGTATCTATGTATCTTGACATTCTCACTTAATAGATGTGATGGCCAAGTTCGATTCTGATATATACGTAAAACGGTTTAGACGTGTTTTTATAATAGCATGAGGGAGCTAATTTACACATAGAGAACACATCACTCTTCACTGGAAAATCCAGAGAGACTTTGAAGCTGATTGAGCTGCTAGTAGTAATCAGGTACGCATCTCTATATGGATGAGTATAAGGGCGCTTCAGTCAGTCATTGTGACATGAACCATTGACGCCGGTTCACCACGCAGGAATAAACATAAAATCAGAATTTTTATTTATCACAATTTTCTTTTGAAATCCTTTTGAAATCGTTTCTCGGTAATCGGGCTAAAACAGTAATAATCAACAATCACGGGGTGTTTTAAATGGAATGAAAATTTGAGAACAAAATGTGATCTCTGGGGAGTTAGGTAATTCTAATGCTCTCAGTTAGTTGTGTATAAAATAAACATTCGCACGAATCAACGTTTATCAAATTATCCACTAAAATATTTGCAACTCAAGGTACGAAAAAATTTATTTTGTTCGTTGAGTAGTTGTCTTACTAGGAAAATTTAACGAACACATTAAGTTCGGTATATAGTTTGTATTGTCCAGTAATGGGGTTACATTTTCTCTAATACGTCATTGACTCGAAAGTACTATTGGTCTACTCTGTCACGCAAACGTGCACTTTGCGAATGTTTCACTTTGTCCAAAGGTATTAATTTATTACTCCAGGCTTCCGAAAGTGAGGTTTGCTTATTATAGGGTAAAATGTTGACGTGATTGAGACAGCGCAATACACTCGTCATTAGTAATCAGCTGATCGAAGGACGGAGCGACTCGTAGTTTTGAAGTTGCGACATGTAATCCCCATTATCCCACCAGTCGTCGTCCCCTTGCGCTAGATGAATTCGTATTCTATCCGAGAGAGTTCGATGGGGTCGTGTTCTCTTAGAGAGCTTCGCCATCCATCGCATTTTTCAGATACAGCGTTGAATAACGCAATACGGTACTTATAGTGACTGGAACATTGACGTATGGTTCAAACTGATTCCCTTATTCTGCCATTATGTAACTTTGAATTTGATTGAAGATGTAATTATCATGAATGGGCTATTCAGTCAGTTGTCATTCAATTGGCAACCTGGATTCTGCTTGGAAAATCATTTGGTACTACGTGTCTGATTAGTTGTTATCCCATGCATTCTATCGCTTGCAAATTTAAGCAGACAAGTATGGAAACATTGGTTAATTGTGGAGTCTCATGTCTGTCCAATTAATCTCGTTTCCGAGAGTTTTATCAGGGTATTTCATCATGCGCAACTCTTCACAGATGCCGTTGTTTGCTATTTCACAGATCACTGCCCATGGGTTGAAGTAATGAAAAGAAGTAATTATTTTAACCCTATCCGACTGAAGTCATTTTGACCTGTTCTTGGAGCCGTATCACGATCGTCATAATCAGCTAGTTGGCTGTCTATCATTAAAATAAGTGGCTCTCAATAGACCGTGAGTGTTACATGAGCAACAGTTTTATTTGATCCAAGGCCACCCAAGGTACCCAGTTTATCCTGTATACTGGTTATGCAAGTGATCACGAAAAATCCTAAGGTTTTCAGAGATTTTCTGTGCTCAGCTAGCTGTGGGGAGTAAGGCTGTTGGTAATTCTCTTGGATCCTGAATTGCATCAGTGCGTTACCGTTGTCTACCTTTTTCGCTCTTTCAACAGTTGGAAATAATTGAGATTTTGGTCAATTTCGGCGCTGATATAATGGCTGAAACCACTTCTGGGGAGACGGTATTCGATATATGTGACGATCTGGAGATGCATGCGCGGCTAGTGGAAATAAAGGAGGAAGCGGAGAGAAAACAATTTCAACAGCAGGATGCCCTCAACCGGCCGGAGAAACCGAAAGAGTTGGTACGAAGGCGCAGCAGTACGAACCCACGCAGGTGCGCTGTTTATTTTCCCTCTGCCATGCATTACACAACTTTTTATTTTTCTTGTCTCCAGTCGTAAAGGCAGCAACTGAAAGGAAATTTCAGTGAGGAAATGCATTCTGTGGTGCAGTCGATCGAGCTTAACTCGCCCTGTTCCCCAGTTAGGGCCATCCACACTACCCTTTAGCCGAATAATCAATCTGAATTCATGCTTTCATCATATAATTCTGTCACTCACAACCAAGTGACAGTTCACTTTCGACTTAAACTTATCCACCTGTCCTCCTCCCTCGTTTAGCCTCTCAGCTACAGATCACAGACGATAGAGTTTCATGAACTTTCACATTGGGCGAACCACATAGGTTTACCAATAACGTGACAGGATGGAATAACATTTTTGGGGGCATCAAAGTGCAATGAACAAATCCACCAGAACGGTTAGGGGGGATATTGACCTCAAACAATGTGTGCAATCAAAAGGGCTTTGGACCAAGTGGTTAACTGGCTAGTGCAGGGAGAACAACTAAGCATGGGCATGAAACAGCCCCCGTAGACCGAAGTGAGAAATCAACACCCGCTCAGAACACCAAGCAGGCATTAACGGGACAGTAAGTACTAAAAGCTATGCGGATTCGAATAGGTTACTCACAAGGCGACCAAAAAGCGATACGATTCAATACCATACCAATAGAATTAAATGATAATCGGCTGATTCCTCTATCAAAAAATGTCCTTTTATTTACCGAGAGAGAACAACGGGTGCTACGTTACACCAATAACACCAAGTCAGATTTCGATCAGTACAGTACGGCAGCAAAGAACATCTATGTCAGTGAACATTGATTGTACACTGGTCGTTACACCGGAGAAAATATAAAAGTATAAACAAATTCAATAGAGTGCTGTGTAACAAAAATAAATGTCTCTAAAGTTTAATTCATTCAATTAAGGATTGACGTAATTTATTTATAACTCGTTCCTTGTTGGTCAAGATGCGAGCCAGATAAGGTACAGTGGAGATTTTATAAATGTTTATTCGGGAGGATAGGAACCGATAAGAGGAACGAGTGATCGAGTGGGAGAGACCAGAAGATAAGTCAAGATGCACTAGATGAGTGGGGTCGTTTAGAATCTTATTACAATACTCCATATGACCATTAATAAGTTCTGTGATCAATGAATCGGTAGAAATTAAAGATGCACGGCTTATTATCAATAATCCACGTCTGACAGTTTTAAAGTCTTGTTTCAATAGACTGGGAAACACTACAGGGGATCAGTAAAGTAAAATAGGGAGAACACAGTGTTTAACAAAAGAGAACAAAGCTTGTTGGGGAGTGCGAAATTGTCTGAGCCTTCCGAGCCGAAAGAAGAGGCGTCGAAGTTTTCCCATACAATTCTGAATGTGTGTCGACGACCGAAGATTATTATCAATAGTAACACCCAGATATTTGGCTGAGGTCACTCTAGACAAAAGGTTACTATTAAGGGCAACAGATTCTGACGGAAATGTAGGGCCGGAAGAACTAAAAATGCAGTCCAAGCACTTGGATGTGTTAAGATTAAGGCCAGATTGGTTTAAAAACTTGTCGATTCGGGATTTTTCAGCACAGGAATAAAATTCCGAACCTTTAAGAAACGTTCTGACATAAAGCGACATCGTCAGCATACTTTTGGAGATGAGCAGGGTGTGGAGTTGAAATTCATCAATAAAAGCTGAGAAAAGATACTGAGATTAGACAGCACCTTGAAGCACACCAGAATTATTGACTAGAGGACTTGATGTATTCCTGCCCAGCTCTTTGCACTGGTTTTTTTTTCGGTGAAATAATCTAAAAGTCATGAAAGCAGCTGTCTCGGGGTGCCAAAACACTGAAGCTTAAAAATGAGGGATGACCGGGATACAGAATCAAAAGCAGACGAATAATAGAAAAAAACGCAACAAACATAATTGGCAGNNCAGAGCTGTTCAATGAATTGCTTATAAAGTGGACCAGAGCAGACACAGCATCCAAGGTGGATCTGTTGGGTTTATACGCGAACTAAAGAGGATCATGGGGAATGATGTCAAGTGACTGTAAGCAATCTGTACGTCGGACTCAGAGGAATGGGTCAATTTTAGTCCTAATAAAACAGCATTATTATGACTGATATAATGGGTGCACTATTCGCCGATAGAAGGCATTTTTTCTGTCTTATTGTACCAGTTGAGACGCAGTGGAATCTGCGCAAGCAACAATCGTTTACCCTAACTGGGTTGCGCTTGGTCATCAAATATATTTTTATGCTTCCTTTTAGTTGTATTCTGATAATTGAATAAACGAAATACTTGTCTTCCACACGTAATAGAAAAATGTATTGTTCGGTCGTATTTCTTTGCGTGGATGAAGAT